ATACTTTGTCTAATGAAGCCTGGGATATTTCTTAGTGGCAAGGGCATGTTCCTGGTCCATTTCTCCAAGGCTGCTTTTCGGCCAGGTGGTCCCCAGCATGTCTTGGTGCCTGGGGTTGCTGCTCCTCAGGTGCAGGACTTTGCATTTCTCTTTCTTGAACTGCATGGAGTTCTTCTCAGCCCATGTCTTCAGCCTCAGCAGGTCCCTCTGGTTGTCAGCATGGCCCTCTGGTGAGTCAGCCACTCCCCCCAGTTTTGTACCACCAGAAAACTTGCTGAGGGTGCACTCAACCCATCGTCCAGATCATTCATGTTGATGTTAAACAGGACTGGACCCATTTCTGACCTCTGGCATACTCTGCTCATTACTGGCCTCCTATGAGACTTTGCAGTACTAGCAAATTTACTGTGGATTAGTTCCTTTTTTCATAAACTCACTTAGATATTTGAAGTAGTGATTTTAATTTAATAGACTTTTATAGCACAGCATTCAAAAATTAGTTCTGCAGTTTGCTGTTTATAAGATAAATAATTATGAAAGGCTGTTGATTGGCTGATGAAAGTGCTGTATGTTTTTTCAGAGTAATTGCAGTACTTAGTAAAATGTCCATTATGTACAACAAAGTTATTATATTCATATTTGCATTTCCTCTGAAAGCTTCAGTTGTTGTTCTTGTGCTTGAAAGGGCAGCTATTGTACTGCATAAACCTGTTAGGACTACACATTCTATCCATAACTCTTGCTGACAGTTTATATTGAACAGATGAGATTTTGTTCTGTAGTGTGCTTTCCCTTACAGATTACAAAAATTCTATATTTGAGGTTAAAAAAGGGATCATCAGTTCATACTGATTTTGTACCCTTGCCCTTGTACAAGCGTGGGCATTTGTATATTCAGTAAATACACAACGCAGGACCATAATGGAAAGTACTGATAATTGATTCTCAATTATGGAAGCAGGATGAATAATATGCTTTATCTATCAATAAGTTAAGGTGCTCTATTTCTAAAAATCTAAAAGGGTTTGTAGCAGAAAGCTGATAGGGAGCAAAAACATCTTAGTTCTGTGTTTCCTTTTCCATTATTCTCTTTCCCACTTCTAGGAGCTATACCAGCTGGGAGAGGTTTTCTGAAATTTGATGTATACTGAGGTGTACTGAATTGTCAGATCGTATGTTTTTTGTCTGCTTTGGTGGATAGAAAACTAAAAAATACTTCTGTCATGCAAGTAAAAAGAAAATGTATATTAATTTGGATAGGGAGAACAACTAAATATGATGTATGGCTTTATGAACATAGTTCATATAGATATGCAATTGTAATATATTTTGTGTGGTCTGTGGTAAAAGATTAACATCTTTTCAGTCATTGATAGCTGGAATGATTTTCCCTGATAAAGACAAGAACAGTGTGTGATATAAAGTCCCTGTTTCTGGATAATTACTCTTCTAATTTAATAAAAACTGGTGATTTAAATCTTAACTCGAAACATCTGGTTTTCAGTACTGCATAATCTGAAGAGAAACTGTATCTCAGAAGCGCTAGCATAAACCGTGCTTTGCCAGTTAAATGTTCATCTTGTCTCTACAGTCATTATCAGTGTATCAGTGTGCCTGAATTTCCAAAGTACTTCATATAAAGGTTAGGTATATAGATAGTCTTTCTTTTTTTTTATATGTAACCTACAATTTTTATAAGTAGATGTATGTGTAGATGTAAATGTCAAAAATATTTGTTAAAAAAGTAAACCATACTGAAAGATTTGGAGAGAATAATTCAATTAAGACGTGAGGTAAATATAGCACATATGACACAGACTAAGAGTTTCATCACTCATAGATACAGATAAATTGAAATAGAGCCATCTCAGAGAATTCATTAGCACATCTCATACTTCTTACCGATGTTGTGTTTATTTTCTTTTCATTTAGGAGATACTTCTTCCTCTACTAAAACTCAATTCATAGAACAATTAAACCATTAATTGGAAGACTCATTGGAGCAAATATTTGAGTTGGGATTACCTAAGATCCTCTGTGAGCACTTCTACCACTGAACGGTAGTTGTGGTCCATAGGTCTTTTTTCTCTCCTTGTCCTTTTGGATCTGTTCAGTTTTCTTTATTCTGTTTATTCTGTTCCGCTTTCTGCTTACTTTCGGGCCAAGATGCTTGGTACATAGCTCAGTGGTTGTGGCAATCAATTAGACATGGGAGACCTGGTTTCAGCTTCTTCTTCCAAGGAGACTGCTGAATTCTAGTTATGAGGCTGCTAGATTTTCTGAAACATGCCTTTAACTGTCAGGACCTGTGAGCATACATTCTGCCATGCATCGAGTCATACTTTTTTTACCAAATTTACCTAGACCAACCCATTTCTGTGAGGAGGCTGATCACATGTTTTTCAGAAAAAAAATTATTAATAATAATAATTAATAATAATAATAAATGTTTCCAAGTTGTTCACTGTAATACAGTGAAACTGTGTTCAGATTCCATGAGGGTCTTGCAAAAATGGGTCGGTCTATTTCACTGGGAGCTAAAGGAAAATACATAATTGTTACTAGTCACGTTTTCACATGGAATGAAAGTTTGTGGAGAGAGAGAACAACAGTAATAATGATTTCATCTTTTCCAGAACTAAGAAGATGCGTTTAATTGAACCAGAAGGTTTGTCTAAGTGCAGATTCCATCGTTTGACTAGGAAAGCTAAACGATACAGGACAGTATTTTGAAAAGCAGTAATTTATTGAAAATAATGAGCAGCTAAGTAATAGTAAACAGAAATCCAAATAAGATCCCCCTGTGGAAGGCTGCTGCTAGAAGACAGGTAGCCCTTGACAAGTAAATAAAGAGCTACAAAGTCCAGCTACGGCAATAACATTACGATTGTGAAAGGCATTATTGAGGCAGACACTAGAGTGTTCTTCTTCACTTTGGTATTTACTATCTCTTAAAGACGTTGGCAAAGCCTTTTCTTTTTTTAATGAGCTAGGTTAAGGTTTAGTACAAGCAAAGATTGGAGATTCCTATGTTGCTGGTAGAAATGAAGATAAAAAGTTGTGAAATTTGAAACAGGAGAAATTCAAATTAATAGGTACATTTATTTAGTAATGGAAGTAATTGCCTATTGGAGAAATACGCATGGAATTCTGCTTACAAATTCTACAAGCTATGGACTTGGTGAAGGAACGAATAGCTGAATTTCTATGATCTTACAGGGCAAATGATTTTACATGCCTTCAAAGGAAACTTTATTCATTGCACTGAAAGTTTGGAAGGTAAGTTGTGAAGGAGAAAGTATCCACTCAGAATGAAAGGTTAGCAGAAATCCTCTATCTTTGCTTTGACCAGCTGAGGGACCCCTTTGCCAGTACCTGCATCTAGATCTTCTGGAAGAGAAATCAAAGAGGAGAGTACAATCTATTATGTGAAATATAGTTCTCAAGAAAATGTTACAGGCAGTACTTTTCCTTTTATTTTGTAGATGATATAGAAGCAATATTGTGGTAATTATAAGAAAATGTTTAACAATACTAGGATCTAAAGGGATTTTTTTTTCTCTTTGGCTTACAAAATATGATTATCGTACTATGCATACACTGGCTTATTCATTTAAGCAGACATCTCAGAAACTGTCCAAATCCCTTTCATAAGCATTTTTCTTTAGAAACTGTTATCTTCAGTTAGTAAAAGCATTAAGATAGTACAGAACAAAAAACAGGCAGCCTGGTAATTCATCAGGCTTTTAGGTTTCTGACAAGTTTCATGTTGAAAATAACATTTCTTAAGTGGTTTCTGTCTCCCTTTTAAACCTTATGAATAAAATACAAACTGCTTGATAGAACCTGTGAAGTTAGTTTTCTAATCTCTTCAGATTTTTTTACGCTTTCCTAAAATCCTATTTTTCAATTTTAGCAAATGTAACACTTAGTTTTTCCTGCTAAAAAGTTTCTAGTTCTTTGAATATTGCTTTTTTAAATGTCTTCATGCAGTTCAAACGGTCTGTGCGTGAAAAAACATGCAGTGGATGCTTTCTGAATATTCAGTGCAGGTGTTCCTAGTGTAATCTTTGACCTTAAAAGGAACTCTTTTCAAAGATGCTGTGCAATACTAAAAAGCTAAGCTGTAAGTCTATATCATTGCATAGCACTTTTAGGCACGGAATAAAATTTCAACCTTATATTTGGTGATGTTAGGAAAGAATGAAAAAAAGATAGGCTTTCAACATGTGTTGTAGCTTTAACTGTTTCTAACTCTGTACATATTCTCAGAAATACTTATTTTCCACTATTTGCAGTCCATAGTAGAACAAATATATATACTTAACATATATATATGTTTATATATATATAAAATACCAATTTGGAGAGCAGTAAGGTATTTCTTAGATCTAGACAAGCCAGTCAAAACAAAAACCCTCTTTGTTATTTAAAGCCTGCTAATATGTGTTAATAGATCTGTCTGCAATTGAAACATTACAATTATTGTTATCAAGTACATCTATAACCTGAACAGGAGGCATGCTTCAGGTTAGTCGGAAGAGGTCCTCTGTTTTTCACTGTGCATGCTTGCTTGAAATGAAACTGTGTGTTATTGGTTAACTGGGATGCTTAGCATAATCACTTTGCAAAGGCTGTGGCGGAGGGAGGTGATTATCACTGAGAACAGATGGGCAGGTCCCGAGCACTGCCAGATTCTGCACAAGCTCCACGTACCGTAGGTTCTAGCTCTCTTTTCTTCGGCATTTCTAATTTTTATGCATTCTGCATATTTTGAAGTGCTGGCTTAGCTAAAGGTCAGGGAGCGATGACCTTACAGCTTAGCTTACGGATGTAGGAGTGGAGCATTCAAAACGCTGTCACTGTATTTCTGGACGGATGGGGCAGACTGCATTTTGTACAATTGCCTTCCTAAATGTGTGAAAGGATTTATCTCTGAGCTTAGCACTCTACTCTGCATCTGTAGCTTTCTGTGGATTGTATTGTCTGTGCAACCAGAAATGATATTCTCAGATATGAACACTGTTTCTGCCTCTCCTAAAGTGCATCCTCCTAATGGGACCCGGTTTTATACTTTTCAGGTAAGTGAACTTTAATAAAACTGAACAGATTTTTCTTGGTACTTAGTGATAGGTAAACTTTGAGTAAGAATGGCTAATGGGTTAAGAAGCTTATGTGTTAATTGTTTTTTCTTGGTAGGAGGCAATATGTAAGAAATGAATATTATCACAGTAAGTTTGCTGCCTTCATGAAATCAGCATGTAAATTGTTCATAAATGAATATTAAATTGTATTCACAATGATTTTGCTATTGATTCTGTTTTTCCAATATTATTATCTTGAGATTTATTAGAGTTACAGTTCCTTAGACAGACCCACACCGAGTCTTATTGTTAGTTCCAATTAAGCACTGTGTTGGCATTATCAGAAATTTCCAATTTATGTTACATTAAAAACATATATATTTTAAAAACTTTGTATGTTGCACCTGTCTGGATTTTTTTTTCTTTTAATCCTGAATGTAGTTTCATGCTGATGATTAATTTGATTCCTTTGGATAGTAATCATGATGTGCAGTGGATAGAATAGCAAAATCTATTGCGAGGATTATTAAGGATCCTAATTTTAATCCAGGTTTTCCCTCATCCAGGTAAGTCATATTGTGCACTCATCCAAAGGTTAAAAAAAAAAAAATACTACATGCTCTAAATCTATTGTGCAAACCATTCTCATTACAGCCAGTTTTCTGTGGCATTTAATTAAAAGAAATCTTCAGTGTCTTAGCCCTGGAAAAATATCTACATGAAGATTTAACAATAAAATACCTGCCCCACCTCCCAGCTGCTCCTCATAGTGCTCTGGCCCTGCATGGCAATTCAAATACTCCATTACTTAAAGAGACAACAGCTTTTCAAACTCAGCTTCTGATACAGTTAGGATTTAAATAATCTTCCTATTCATAGTCATGTGTATCAGTTTTGTCTTTTTGGTTACTTGATGCTACTGTAGATTGATATCTTTAATACTCAATACATGCTATGTATGCTACCGGAGCAAACAATATGAGGCAGTTAAAAGTTAAACATAAAATACATAGCAAACTTTCTTCACGAAATGCAGACATCCCTTCCTTTGTGCTGGATAACTGCATTTTATTTTTGTTTTCTGTTCATCTGTTGTTTTTAATTGTGCTATCTCGCTCTTCTCACAGTGATGTGAAATGATAGTTGAGTGCTGTGCAGAAAGAGTGGCATCTTCCTAACAGTGACTATCTGCTGATCCTGGCAGTGATTCAGACACATGAATGCCCCAGGCCTGTTTTTCTATAACATGACTACTTTTCTCACACACTGACATCTAAATATTCTGTACAGCCTCCTGTAGCTATGCTCTTACACACAGTTCTTGACGTCAGGTATTCTTTCTGAGTGTGCCGAGTTGAAAGTGTCACTAAAATTAAGACGCTTGGTTGTGATTCCAAATTTGCAGTTTTATTCTGTGGTACTTTAGGAAACTAAATAATAACAATATATAATTTTTTACAGCACATATTGTTCTTACTTTCAATCTCTTCTGATTTTTGTAGACGGTATCCTAAATTCAAAATACCTCATTTAAAAATGTCTTCTCCCACTAAGCAGGGAGGACAATAAGTGAAAGTGAAATATAAGTTTCCTCCTTCACCATGTATATTTTAACAGGCAGTGTAGAGTTTGATTTACATTACTGCTATTTCAGGACAGTCTGTTTGCATACTGGAACAGTTTGGTGTTATTAGTGCTAAAAGTATCCGAAAAAAAAATCGACCAAAGAAAGCTTCTATTTTCCTCTGATGTCCTTTTTAAATATCTATAGATACATATTCTTTTTTGTTGTTGTTGTTTGTTTGTTTGTTTTTGTTTGCATCCATGCATTGAAAGGAAAGATACATGAAGCAACTTTCCACTCCTTGCTTTGGCCTGCTCTGTCCTTCCTTGCTTTCTAGATTATGGTTCCTCTGGTATCTTCTCTTGAGTTACTTCAGTCTTTGCTTATAATTTTAAAAATTGCTGAGAAGAACTTCATATGACTCATGTTAATTTTTTTTATCTGTTTTAAACTACTTTCACTTTTGCCTTCTCACTTACTTATTCTATGGTGTCTGTATGTTAAATTGTAATCTCTTTGAGGTTACCTCTTTCATTTAAATTGCTTGCAAAGCTATTCACCAGTTTAATGGTTGTTAATTTGAAATATATGTGGCAGGTATTTAATCTAAACATTTAATCTAAACTTAATAAAGCCAGTGTTTAGCATGTTCAAAACTGAACCTCTATAAAAATTGTGAGATGAGGACCTGAACTCTGTCTGATAGGGCAGCACTTAAGCTGCTGAATTAGTTGTACGTTGAACCACAGCATAATAATTCTCTCATCAACAAAAATGGTGTTGAAGAAAAACTAAAGCATATGCACAAGTTGCATTCCACGGATGTTCTTAGGAAATAAACCTAAACTGGCCTCTGCTGACCAATGCATCTAGAATTGTTGGACCAGAGAGGATCACAGGAGTGGATATCTCTACAAGCTCTTGAGCATTTATTAAGCACTTAATTAAATGTTTTTAATAGTATGCTTTTGTAAAATGCGTTTCATTTAAAAGTGTAATGAATCGAGATTAGAATTTTGCCATAAATTTGCAAATGCAGATTTTCCTGCCTGACAGACATTATTTTTAGATTAAATTAGCAAGGAATTTCTCAACAACTAATTGCAATATTTAATTACATTTTCATCAGAAATAATAGAAGATAAATGAAGTTTCTTTGCTTCCCCATTCTCTATTGTGTTGTTTTATTGGTTTAGTTTTTCTCCTGAACGACTAGTGCTTAGAAAATGCATTGATTTTGAAAATGACTTAGATATCTACATCTATCTATGTAATGCTATGAAATTACTAGTTTCTTTGTTCTACTCGTGAAATCTGTCCTTATGCAAATGTTAAAAGCCTGGTTAAGATTAGCTTATTTATTGAAGTGCCTGTTACGATTAAAACAAACTCAAGCTTTTATCTTAGAGTATGCTTGATTAAAGCAATTAGAATAGCAAACTGCATAAGAGGAAGTCATACAGAAGTAATATACTGTATGAAAAGAAGGAGTTATAACACTGTTATGAACAAGATTTAATTTTATGAGAACCAAGATGATGCCAAAACATAATGCTTTGTATTTCAGTATCTCTATTAGATCTCAGTTTGCTTGTCTTGCAGACTTTTACAGCCATATAAAAGAAAGCAGTGGTTTTCTTTCTTCTTATCTTCAGGCTTGATAAAGAGATAGCATTCCTGCTACTGTATGGGTTAAATTACTTCACTAGGCTCTCTAAGTGAGCACATACCTGTCACCAAAGTTGTAAACAAGTGTTCCAAGTAGTGACACTGGCTTGCTCCTTGGTTGGTCATGTATTATTTTACTGTGTTTAGCAAAATTTGCATAAAATAATGGTGCAAGTGCAACAGACTGGACTATAAATGAGATTTTTAATCATGTGGTTGGTTATGTAATGGGGAACATTAATATACTGAAGAAGTCATTTTTAATCAAACTGGGTTTTATAGCACATGAGGGGGTATAGCATTTTTATAAAGGCATAGAATTAAGGAACTTAATTTTAAATCATCAGGTTTCTTTTTTGAAAGTTGAGTAATATTGCTCTAATCATGGCTAGCCTGCTCTAGTATTAGATATGGAGGCTGGTTACCCTGCCTGCAGCAGGGTGGTTGGAGCTTGATGATCCTTGAGGTCCCTTCCAACCCAAGCCATTCTACGATTCTATGATTTAAAAGCAAGTTAAGTCATGTTGATGTTTTCTGTGCACTTAAGGTTTTGGTTTAATTAAATTTGTTGAGTACACTAATACATGTGAATACTAATTTGTGCAACTTCCAAACATCAAAGTTATTTTCACATTGTATGTGGAATTTATTCCAACAGAATTTGAAATTCAAAGAGACATCTTTTGGTTTCAGCTTCTTTGCAAAAGAGGGAAGCCTTTTAGTTTAGAAAAAGCTAAGATGTTTGTACAAATAGTATTTCTAACTCTTGTAATTGTCCACTTTAATAGTAGGCACACATCTAAAGCACAGATCTAAGCACGGGCCTAAATAAGGGCTGGACGGGATGGCAAATAGGGAGAAATGGGGAAGCAGGCATGCACAGGAGAGAGAGACAAACACACAGATTGCTGCAGAACACAGGGTCTCTGGATCCTGCTGTATCTTTAGCTTTCAAATAATCAGTATGGAGTAACAGTGTCTGTAAATGATAAATGCAAACTTTTAAATGCTTGGAAGCACTACTAGCCCATATTATAGTCAGATAAAATCTGTGGTTTATAAATGAACTCAGGACAACTGGACTACACTCTTTTTATACTTCAACAAGTAGTGAAAAAGGGGCTATTTTCTGAAACCTTGAGAGCTTAAAGCAATTTTGTATTAAAGTCATATGATGATCAGAAGGCCTATAAAGAAATATAATGACTTTCCTAGAAAAACTGAAGAGAAGTCCTGAAAGTTTTGTATGACATGAAAACATAAATACAGTATGAAACTACTGTAAAAGTGCATTGCTGATCAAAGATTTGAAACTGGGTTACTGGGAAAGTGGGAAATGTGTCTATACATAAAACATCTATCACCAGGACTGTGATAACAGCTTTTTTCAGCTGTTAACAACTGAGAAGTTATGCTATTATGATACCAAATTAACAACAGAATGCAAACAAGATGTTAGTTTGCAGTACAGAATGTGCTTTAAGCTGTATGGAAAAATTGTACTCTGTACAAAATGCTAAACACACTTGTTAATTTTCCTGTGTTATGTAAGTTAAGTGAACTGTATATTTATCCAGAGCTGCTGCCTCATACCATCTTGTGGTTTCAGTGCTTCAATGGTCCTGTTCTTGTTTCATGTCTCTCTTACACAGAAAATAGTAAATGAAACAGGTCTCCTGTAAGAGAAAGTATCTTGTCAAAATGCATAATTGCACTTATCTGAATAGATGTATCCTTAGATCATGCTTCAGGTAGGTAAGCCATG